ATAAGAGCCTCCCTGGGTGAGGGACAGAAGAACCTCAGGTAACTGAGCAGTCCCTGCATTTATCCTCATAGTCAGGAAAAAAATCCTGTATTTATAGGACAAGTGAAATGGAACAATGACAACAAAAAAACCACTTTTTATAATGTCAGGTATGGGGTTTCCTGAAGTTTCCCTGCTCTGCCTGTGCTGAGCCTATTAATTGCCTCCACCTGCTCTGAACAGGTACAGAAAAGCCATCCCTAACTCCAAAACTGCTGGAAAACAGCACAAGCCAAGACAGCCTGACCCACTCACCTGACACTTCCACCCAAAGGTGGATAGTGCTCTGAGAAGGCACAGCTGAGCCAGGAGAAATCCCATTTACACCCACCTGTAATCTCAGGGTTCCTGTCCATAATTGTGGGACTGCATGCTAAAGACTGATTTGGAATTACAAGATGAAAAATTCCATGACCTTGCTCCCCCTCTGGCCCTGATCCACGGGCAGGAGGAACAGGATACAGAGCAAGTCAGGAGCAGGATATAAGCACTAATTTGACTCTCAGCACAAGGTAAGTGAAGCTTTCATGACCCTGCAGGGAATGTGCCACTTCTCACCTGCTGCTGATCAAAACATGTAAGGGAAGAAGACTCTGCTTCTAATTATTTGTTCTCTCTTCTGGCATCACACAAACACCTTTTACGGGGGAACAAACCTAACAAGAGTTGGACACGATGCCTCTGATGGGTCCCTTCCAACTCAGCATATTTATGATTCCATAACAGCCCTTCTCCTGCTCCTGCTGTTTCCCACCTACCAGTAAATTACACCTGGTTTGGAACAGACACTAAACTTCATATCCACGGCAATAAAAGCCCACATTTTCTAGCACAAATCTGACAGATTATCACTACTTCAGTAATTATCATCCTCCTCCTTGGTCCCAGCTGATAAAGAGAACCTCGGCAGCACAAGGTCACTCCATCCAGGAGCACGGAGCAGGAATTCTGTGGATCCATCCAGATTTCCACTGTCACTGCACTGCAGCAGAGCAGCTTTAAAAATGCATTCCCACAGAACCTGAGGCAGCCAGCAAAGACCAGCCCAAACCCTCGTGCCCTTGATTCTGTCCCAGAATCCCAGTGAAGCCTCTCCTGCACTGGGATCCGAAGGCTGGCAGGTGACAGCTGTACCTGCAAACCCACTGCAGCAGAACAGCAAGAGCTTTCACACAGCTCTGGAGAGGAGAGGGATCCAGAACAAGCCCCCAGCAGCACTTCTGTGCACCTGCAGGGGAGCTCCTGCCAACACAGAAATAATATCCATCAAATCCCACCTCCCACAGCCGATCCCCCCGACCTGCACCGGCGACTTCAGCCAGTGACCAACACCCCTGACTTGATTTTGAGGAGGAGGATTAGTCAAGAGAACAACCTCCAAGGGCACATAAGTGCAGCCAAAGTCCCCTGAACACTGGCACAGTGACTTTCCTTTGTTCAAAGCTCAAATTCTCCGAGGGCGACAACCTTTGGCTTTACCCCCCCGTCCATAAATGCCTCTGGAAGCTTCACCTCCATGGCTGCTTCACATCCACGTCTGAGACACAGCTTGTGATGCCAACCTCACATCCAGAATAACCCCTTTTTTTGCTAAGACACCCTCAGTAACATGGTGCTTACCCTGAGCTTGCCCTGGCACTAAACACTGTGCAGGCACCAACTCAGTCAGTGCCTCCCAAACTTTGATCCAAGTTTACAAATCAAGGCTCCTCTGTGGGATTCAGGCCAAATTTTTTTCTTGCTTGCACCCTTAAAAGCCAAAGGAGAGAACTGAGGAGAGAAAAGCACATTAAAGAGAGGTTCACTCCTCCCACAGATAAGTGTGAGGTGATGAAAGACGCCCATATGGGGCTGGCTGGTTTAAATCAATGCTGGGGATTAATCTTGCTGGATTTTAGACAACTAAATCTGTGGCAACACAGCTCTAATTAAGGGCATCACTTTTGGGGATTGGTTAAAAGAGAGCCTTGCAGACAAGTGAGGTACTGGCAGCAAGAGGTTCCTGCTTTTAGCTTTTTGGAGCTGGCAGTGAAAAGGTTCAAACCCTCAGGTCTAACGGCACTTCAACTTTACCAAAGTCCAATGATCTTTCCCAAATCTGTTTCAAAAGGCACCGACTGCGGGAGAAGTGCCAGGCTTGCACAAACCCACCTCATCAGTATGCACCTTGTTTTGCCCCATGACACTCAGCAGCCGCGGTTAATTAGTCCCTGATAATGAATTGCCCATCACGACTTCGCAGTGCAGCTGGTAGGTGAGCGATTCCTAACTGTGTTTTGGAATCAGCATTCCAAAAGCACAAACACAAAAGAATAAAGTTAACAATCTGTTTACCCGGCTCTCCCCCTCCTCCAGTAGCTGCTGCCAGCCAAAGGCTTGCAGGGGGAAAAAAAATAAAATAAATCTATTTGCAGGGTTCAGCAGAGAGAAACCGCTTGGACTGCTCTCAATTTTCGTATCTTTGCCACCGGGGCTTCGTGTTATTTCACACAACTCATTCAAGTTGGGAGATGAAGCCTGTTCCTCTGGCTAATAGCATTAAAAGCCTCTCTCTGGAGATAATTAGTCCTCCCTCCCCCATCCCGAGCGGAGAGTCACCAACAAACAAAGAAATTCAGGCCGTGACAACCAGGCTGGAGCTGGGGCTGAGCTGCCTCTCACCTCCCTATCTCTCGGCACTGCTGAGAATCAAACCCAGGTGACACCACAGGCAATAAACCCAACAAGACGAGAACAGCACCTGCAGATTCGGGGCTTCGTCATTTAGAAACCAGGAAAACAGCAATTCCTCATCCGCAGGGGGCAAAACACCAACGTGTTATCTCCAGAGGTTCTGCGTGGTCACCTCCCGCCCCCCTGAGTCACTGAAAACCAGCAGATAAGAGCCAGAATTGGGAAACCTGTAGCCTTTTACCTCTGCTCCCAAGCCATCAGCAAACCTCCACACTCTCAGCTCCTCCTGAGATACAGCAGCTCCTCCAGGGCACAGGGAAAATTAAGGTCAATCACCATTTGTAAAACACCTCTGCTGAAGACTCACGATGTTCTGTATATTTACATGCTGGTTCCTCCCCCCGGGAATCTGCCCTTGGATTTGGGGGCACAGTTTGGAAAGGGTTAAACCCCCAGCATGGTCCCAGATCATCCTGAGTCACTGAAAACCAGCAGAGCAGATAAGAGCCCGAATTGGGAAACCTGCAGCCTTTTACCTCTGATCCCAAGCCTGTCACTCGGCCACCGGCAAACCTCCACACTCTGCTCCTCCTGAGACACAACTCCTCCTCCAGGGCAGAGGGGAAATTAAGGTCAACCACAATTTGTAAAGACTCACGATATTCTGTGTATTTACATGCTGGTTCCTCCCCTGGGAACCTGCCCTTGGATTTGGGGGCACAGTTTGGAAGGGGTTAAACCCCCAGCCAAATGCTGGCTGCTGCATCCTCTGCCTAAAGTGACCCCACTGCAGGGAAGAGCTGGGAATAGTTATCACCACAGCACTGACAAGTCAGCAAGAGCTACTAATTAACTGATAAAAATAGAACTCTGAAAGGGCTCTTTTCCCCCCTCGACACACAAAGCCGAGGCCCAACACTGCTGCAGTCTCACATCCATTCCTTTTCCACGGGCTCCAAACTCGCCAGCAAAATAATAAAAGCATTCTCACACTCTCAAGAATCACCCCACATGGCACTTGCAGGCAGAAAAATCCCAACTAAACAGAATTAGGGGACTGGTTCTGAAGGACAGGGAGCCTCTCTTTGCCCTGCACACCCCACTCCCACCTTAATGGGAGCAGGAACAAGGTGACAGCCTTGCCCCCTCGCACTCCCTGCAGCCCAAAGTTCTGGTTTGGCCTGAAAAATGAGATATTTTGAGGGAGATCCAGGTGATCCCAAGGATATCTGGAGCTTCTTTGCTGCACAGCATCACTGGGACCAGCGAGAAAAGCCCAGTTTTGCTCTAAGCCCCCCCCTCTCCCACTCCCTGCCAGACCCAGGTTTTGTACAGCTTGTAACTGAATATTCATCACCAACTAATAAACCTGCAGGAACCGCAGTCTCAGCGATTTTTAATCCATATAATGCCCCAACACATGCCAAACACAATGAAATTTGATCAAAATAGAAGCCATTTGTTTAAATACAAGCGATTTGGCTCTCAAAACTGTCATCAAATTAAACTGGAAATCAAATTAACCAGTGATTGAATGAAGTAGAGGGCTGCATAATCACAGATCACTGATCCAGCAGCATGAAAACAGGGATGCAATCACATTCCCAGTGTTTGTGGCACTGCCCCGTGCTCCCAACGGGATTTCCACCCCATCTCCCAGGACCTGAGGATGCTCTGTGCCTCGGGCACATCTCATTTCTGGGTAAATCCAAAAGGAAAACCTTCCTTGCAAAGCACCCTGTGAGATATTATCAGATAACAGAATGAAAGGACACCCTGACACACTTGAAACCACCCTGATTTAGGACAGAACAGCACAGTCATTTCCAGCATTGTTGGGAAGAATAAGTTTAAACCTACTCTGAATGGGAAAAGGGTTTGTTGCCATCACTGTCCAAAGTATCAGCTTTAGTTGGTGTAACTGTGCCAACCAGGTCCCTCACAAGTGGCCTCATTTTGGCTTTATTTCCCCCCCCTTTTTTTTTTTGCACTCTCCTCAAAAAGGAATTTAAACCACGTAAATGTACAGTTTTAGGTGTTGTCTACTCTTAAAAAGCAATTTGGATTCATTTAGAAGGTCTGACTAAAGAGCAACAGGCATTTCTGAGGAAATCATAGCAGACAGAGGAATCTGATTTACACTCCCTTGCAGCTTCTACAGCACAAACTAACTCAGCTGAACATCCTTCTGAGCACAGAAAACTTCACCACCCTCCCCTTCCCTGACTCTGCCCAGGACTTGCTGATGTTCTTCTTTTCCAAAGGCAAACTTCAAGTTCAACACTCACCCCGGCACAATTCCAGCTTTCTTTAAGCAATTACAAGAAGAGAAGGCTCCC